AGAGCCCTCGCTGATTCTAGAGAGAGAGAGAGAGAGTCGATCACCCCATAAGAACAGCCCTGGGAATCCTCCGTGGATTGATGGTGAGTTGGTGGTTCTTGATGGAAATCACATCAAATTAGGTCCCATGGTTGGATTTGTGTACCAGACACCTGAGTATCACTTCTTGCTTTTCTTCCATCGGCTGAGGCTCCAGAGCTAGATCCAAAATCGAACGTTGCTTGAGCCAAAACTAATGGCTAAAATTGCATTATGTAGAATTCTGATTGATTAAAAGAGAGAAACCCGAAGGGCCAAGTAGAGAGAGAATCGGAGGTGTAAATGTGTAGGAACAACAGCACAACTGATGTTTCTTTAGTGAGAGAAAGAAAGGAAAAAAGAAAAAAGAAAAAAGAGAATCCTAATCCACTGCTGAAAAAGAGAGAAAGTGACAGGGTGTGTAAAGAGAGAGAGAATGAACAAACATTTTAGTTTCAATTTTTATGACTTTTTGATGGAAAGGGTAAATGTAAAACAAGAACGTCGGTTCCATGGTGTGATATTAAAATTATTGGGAATAAGATGTCTATAAAATTTATTTTTGGGTATCTATTATTTTCATTTTTTAAAGAGTGATTTATATATGGATTTTAAAATTTTAGGTAAAATACCAAATGCTCCATTTATATATAAAAATTACAAAGAAGGTTGGTCAAAATATTTTTTTTTATTATTGTTTTCAAAATTGGCCCTCCGTCTACTCAAATTTTGATTTTTTTTTGTTTTGTTTTTTGTTTTTTGTTTTTTGAGAAAATGACATACATATTCGTTATAGTTTCCGTTATTACGGCTCTACTGAATAGTTTTTGTTATTACTACTGTGCATATTTTTTTCATGTCAAAGCAAATTTTTTTTTAAAAGACGATTTTACCTTTTTTCGGTTGTTGAACAATCGAATTCAAAGTAAGTATTTTCGGTAACGGGCCCAATTTCGGTTTTTGAATAATCAAAAATTAAAAATTTTCGGTTCTTCAAAAACCAAAAGTTTTTTTTCTCTCTTGTAGATTTGCGTATCGTCTCTCTACCTCTCTTTGTACATTACATGGTAAAAATGTTTTTTTTTTTTAAAACTCTCTTTCTCCCCTTCACCCAACATCTTTTTGGGTAAGTTCAGGGTAAGTTCATAATCGGTGAGATTTCTCTTCGATTTAGGAGCTTAAAGTAGCGTTCCCCTTATTTTATCAGATAACCATGACTTCAAAGAAGTAGAGAGAGAATACACCATAAGATTTTTCCTAATCTTCTATTTTCATAATCCCTAACATTTCTCCTAAACGTAAGGGCTCAAACTAGTTGTTCTCTTTTGATTTTATTGGATAACTATGACTTCAAAGAGGTAGAGAAAATACATCGAGAAAAAACAGTTTTCGATTATTTTAAATTTTCGGTTCTTCAACGATCGAAAATTTAAAATTTCGATAGTTCAATAACTGAAATTGGTGTATTTTCGATTGTTGAACAAATGAAAATACTTTAAATTCAACGGTTCAACAACCAAAAAAGAGCCTCTATGCACAAATCCATTACCATTTCCATAATCCCATCTTCAAAACACATATTTAGCACACAGTAGAATCCCAACCTCAAAAAACCCTAAACTTCTCAATACCTTTACCAAACGGTGAAAATAGCAACACGGTAGTTTGTCAAATAGGGTTCTCAGCTTTTAGGCTTCTAATTTTAACGTTCCTTCCTTTATCCTTGAAAGTAAGCCATAAGGACTTTTCCAAAGAAACTGCAGAGAAAGTTATCACATGCGACCTAAAGAAATGGAAAAGAAACTTACGTGAGAAATTAGAAACTGCAGATAAAGTTATCACATGCGACCTAAAGAAATGGAAAAGAAACTTACTTGAGAAATTAGGGGTCCTTATCAACACCTTGGTTGATTTACATTTTTGGCGCCTTCTCTTTGTTTTGAAGAATTAGCTTGAAAGGGTTTTCTTTAGAATTGACGATTTGGATAGAGTCTAAGTTGATCTAACCGGATTTAATCCATTGGTTGCCTAGGGATTATGGGCCACTAGGTATAGAGGACTAGGGTCTACTGCACTAGTATGGTCTCAAGGGCTCTAATTTGCAAGTTTCAAGGAATACCCTTTTGTCAAAATTTCAAGGGGTGTCTACGGTACTATAATTGGATGGATCCCACAATCTCTATAGAATTTAATTATTTAAGTTGAAAGGATGAATAAGATAGGGTTCCTTCCCAAATTCTCCCAAATTTTGGCTGTATGGATGTGAAATTTGTAGATTAAAGTGTTGCACATAATCCACGAAATTCTGTTTTAGACTCAGTGATACACTCGCAGTCACCCAATTTCACATCTAATGACCGATAATGATTGTGACTATTTTATACTAATAGGAAATGATTTTATTGTATATATTTATGATATGTTTTAAATATTACATGTAAATTAATATCTATCTTATGTTGATCTTGAATTTTCCTATTTACGTGGGTTAAGGGCTGCCCACGAATCAAAGTTTAGGAATTTATAGATAGGCATTTTGGACATTTGGTTGAGTTTATTTAGTGTTATATTAGGATATGGGCCGATATGATAAGGTCATGAGGATCTGTTTTGGCTTGAAGATAAGGGTGGGAATGGGTCGAGTATGGATCGGATCCGGATATGAATCGGGTCCGACTAGACCCAAGACCCAGACCCAGACCCAACCTGTCGGGTTCAAAAGTTGGACCCATACTCGTTCCCGTCTGTTCCTGGGTCTTTTCTATCGGGTTTTGGGTCTGGTCGGGTCCATTGCCACTTTCGCTATGAGCTTCTTTTTTTGTAACCTACAATGGTGAACAACGGAGAAGTGATTTTTGAGGGGTGGGCAATGAGAGAGAGAGAGCTATATCTCCAACAAGCTGATAGAGGGAGAATTGCAAGAGAGAGAGGATGGCGATGGGATTTGGCCATTTGGAGAATTAAGGGAAGACGAAAAGTATTGAAACAATTTTAGAGTTGGGGCTTTGGCCTTTGGGTAAACTAAAAATTCAAGTTCGGGTACGCGCCGGGTCGAGTATAACAAAACCCGTACCCGGACCCAAGACTGTCTGAGTATCCTTTATTGGACCCAAACATTGTCTGTCGGTCCAAAACTTGAACTCATACTTGGACCTGTGTCGGGTATACCCAACGAGTATGAGTCAGGTCCGGGTCCACCCTGCTTGAAGAGATATTTGTGAAGAGAACAACGTGTACCTTTTGAAGCCGTGAAAAGGAAAACATTTAATCAAGTGTTCTGAAACCAAAATTGGGGTAAGTAGCCATGCAGAAAATCAAACTACCAATTTAGATGGGCAAATCACATTAATTCTCTGATGTGAGAACCGATCTAAAAAATAAAAATTTAAAAAAAATAATGAAAAAAATGTAATGTTTGGGAACCCGGTGGTCTATTCACCTGGTTCCCTACTAAACTCTCTAGGTGACAGAACTTGACGAGTCCAAGGGACCCAGATTGATTCCCAACTTTGACAAAAATGGGTTAATTTGGACCAATTTTCAATTCAAATTGGTAATTCTCGACTTGGATTGTCAGTTTTGTAAACACTGATTAAATCATTTTCACTTTCGGATGATAGGTGCATTAGTAACAAACTACCAAAAAAAAATTATTCTTCTTTATTTTTGATAAGTTTCATTTTGTGTGGTCCCTGTTATTTTATGAGTTTTCACATTATCATCGACCCAAGAACTTTCATGTCATGGAGGGAGAGATCATGCTGATGACTTATATAAAATAAGGGGAACGGGTCCAATGAAATTTCAATAGACCATGTTACAGTGTATACGACTTGCTATACTCTTTTATTTAAAAAAATTCCTTTTTGCCTGTACTCTTTCTTCTTGACTCCGTCTACCTCTCTTTAACCATAAAAAAACTAAAAAATAAAAAAAATAGGGGGGATAGTTACAAAATTATTAAAGGGGTCAAATTATTTATATTATTATTCAAAAGTTTATTTTTATTTTTTTATTTCACTTAAGTACCTCTTAAAAATTTAAAATACCCAAATTGTCTTTTTCAATATTTGAAATGAGAAACAATCAAAGGTAATTTTTAGTAATTTGACCCAATACTGACAATACCCCTAGCTGTTAAGTACGGATAATGCGTAACTTGGGCGAATTTTTGTCATTCTGCACGTGCATCACGAACATTGAACAATGTGTTCCGAATCTGTAATACAGATTTTTCGTTCAATGGCATATTTTGGAGGTTCAAATTACTAGAATGACCATGATTTTTCCTCGTTCCAAATAATAAACAAGGGTAATTTAAGTTTTCATAAAAATTAATTTCTTTAATAAGATATCTAGGTGAAATGAAGAATAAAAAAAAAAAAAAAAAAAAAAAAACTTCAAAATGTTAAGAGAGACAATCTAATGTTATAAGGCTTTTTATCTCATGTTATAATTTTTTTTTTTTAGAGATCTGTGTTAATTTTAATAGTGATCTTTTGAAATCTTATGTAAATGGGTGGAAAAATATTTTATAGGATTTTTTTTTTTAAAAATAAAATTTTATACTCTTGTGATAATTTTTTTTTAAAAATTCATATCAATTTTAATAATGATCTATTTAAAAATCTTACGACGCATGGGTGGGGGAAGACGTGTGGGATAAATCATTACTCTTTTCAAAATCTGAAATATGGTTCCCTCACTTATCTAGATTCTAGACGAAATCTCGTTGAAATATTGAAAGAAATTCAAAATTTCGCGAAGAGATGCCGAAACTATGAGAATACGAACAAGTCGCTCATCGAAGTCGTCGTGGAAGATAGAGACCCATGCAAAAGACAAACGGGATTGTCTACAATGAGACGAAATACTAGTTTGAATTTTCCTCTGTTTTTAACGTTTGTGGATGATTTTTCCTATGTGATCCCTTTGTCACTATCCATTAATAAAGCAAACATAACGTTAAGAACCCGCCATGGAAGAACCCCATTACAAATACTTAAATAGATCAAACAATGGCTACGAATTTAGAGAGAGAACATTAAGAGAGAAAAAGATCATGAAGAACTCAACAATGGCAGATGAGAAAACAGAGCCACTCGGCATACTAGGAATCCTGAAAGAAGCTCTAAAGCTCCCTCTCAAGAACAAAAGCCTCATGGTCTTTGTCACAATCTTTACAATCCTCCCTCTCTCGCTCTTGTTGCTGTCTCATCAGCTCCTTCTCCTCCCCTTCGCCAAAGTCCTCCTCTTCCACACGACCCTCCTTTCGAGAGAGAGAGAGAACAGCAAGGAGGCCCTAGAGACCATGACCCAGATCAGAAAAGATGTAAGGCTCATAGTGGCTTTCGAGGTGGCCTTTCTCCTTCTAATCTCCATTGCTACCATCTTTTCACTGGCAACTACAATCTACACAGTTGCCACCACTTATGTGGGCAAACATCTCACTAAAAAACAACTTCTCTCTAGGGTTTTTGCAACTTGGATGCGCCCACTGCTCACTTGGTTCTTTATCTTTCTCCTCTGTGTAGCTTTCTCTGTTCTCTTGATGCTTTCTCTTGGGGTTCTCTCTCTCTTTGTTGGTCCAAAGGCCATTGTTGGTTATTCAATTGCTGTCAGTCTCATGGTCCTTGGGGTGCTTATTTATCTGGTTACAGTCTGGGCTTTGGCTATGGTGGTGTCCATAGTTGAAGATGATTGTTATGGGTTTGATGCTCTGTGTAAGGCTAGTGCTCTCATTAAAGGGAAAAGGATGCAAGGGTACTTTCTCACTCTAGTTTTGGTGGTCCTTGGGGGTTTTATAGGGTCTCTTTTTAGGATTGATGAGAGAGGAAGAAAAATTGGTGGCCAAATTGCTTTTAGTGTAATTTTGGTTATTGTGTCTTGCTTGTTGAAGCTGTATAACTATGTGGCTTTTACAGTGTTTTACTTTGAGTGCAAGAAGTGGCATGGAGAAGCGGTGATGATTGAGGAGACAGGGTACACCCTTGTGCCAGTTCTCAATGTAAATACTGCTTGATAGGGGGTTGTAGGTGCTTAATAAGTTTTAGCTCTCTCTCTCTCTCTAATTAGAGAGTGCTGGATAGGTTTTCTCTCTCTCTCTCTCTTGTTGTGCTCCATGTATTGTGCTTTCGAAAGCAAAGCCCCCAATTTTTCTCCACTTTGAATGATATAAATATATATGGTTATATACTTCCATTTGTATTGATTAATGAATTGGTGCGGATCTTAAGCTTGGACTATAGATGTCTGTGGTTTTATGTTTGGTTGATATAAATGATATTGTTGGCAGTAATAGAAAAGTAAAACCAAATGTTTCCTTGTAGTCAACACTATAAGTTTGGGTAAATATCTTTTCAATAAGTCTTGATTTGTATCTCTTAATAGTTTCATCACTTTTGTATTTCGTTTTATAGACCCACTTGCATCCAACTAATTTTTTTTCTTTATGAAGAGATACGACATCTCAAGTATGATTTTTCTTTAAAACAACAAGTTTCTCTTTCATAGCCGTTCTCCATATTGCATTTGAATTAGCTTCCTCGAAGCTAGTGGATTCTTTAGTTGAGGAAATTTTGGTAAAAATACATCATATTCTGGAGATAATTTATTAAGATCCATATATTTTTCAAATCCTTTAAACTAAGAGGAGATTGGTTAATATGACCAGATCGTCTTGGCTAAAAGTGTTGATGAATTATTTCTCCGTGATATTCATTTGATTGAACCTCTTCATTAGAGTTTTGTGGTGTTTCAGGAATTGATTATTGGGATATTTCCTGATTAGGAGTATTATGAAAGAAGGACTCGTGTGATCTAGCCGGAGTATATAAATATTTTTTTTTCTTTTCTTCACGGCTTAGATCGCTCATAAGTAGTCTGTTTACAATATAATAATTTTAAATAAAATAAAATAAAAGAATATAATAGGATCTCAAGAACTTGAAGTCATTCAAAAACTTTTCTTTCAATTACAAAGAAAATACATAACCTATACCCCACAACCAGTCATCACCTTTCGATGGCATTGGATCTAATGGTCAACCTTCAATCTCAATTGGGAAAGCAAGTTTTTGACAAGCTATACCAATGGAACGTGAATCTCTTTGATTACAAATTAAATAGCTAAGTGAACCCCCTTGATAACCTAGTTTGAGGGAGATGTTTCCCTCTGTACCACGCCCTATAGACTTAGCCCCAATGTGAGATGAGAGATGATGGGAGACAAGAGAGCAACTATGAGGAGAGGGGCGTGCCTGCTTAGGGTTTTTTTTGAGAGCAAGGAGAGCTTTTAAGATGAGAGAGAAGTTCTTTCTAAGTGAGGTGTGCCTTCTAATTTTCATAAGAGAGAGAGAGAGAGAGTTCCTCTACTAGGGGCGTGTCCCTCTTATTGTATATGGGAGAGAGGAGATATTTTAGGGACAAGAGATATGATATATAGATTTGTGTAGGGTACTCACCTTTTTATATTGCTTGAACAAATTTGGGGTTTTTTAGGGTTTTTTTTGGCTTGTCACTCATGTGAGATTGAATATGCATCATTAATCTTGGGTGACTTGTGGGGTGAGAAATATGCGCTCTCTATTTCATGGATGAGATATCAACATCCTGTGAAATGTGTTAGAACCATTATACCCCACTTCCTAAACTATTTTCCTATCAATTAATTCAATTAAGAAATTAATATGTGATAATATTATCTTTTCGTATTTTATGCACAAGCCTTCTCATACATACCAAAATATCATTCAAAATTTCATTAAGGTTTAAGCTTTCTTAAAGCATCGCAAACTTATCTCTCAAGCTTTAGAGCTAGATTACAAAAAATAGAAAGTGTCCTAGGTGGGGCGTGCCACCCATTGCGGCATATAATGGGCCCCACACAATTTGCTATGGTGAGCCCAAAAGTTATATTGGGCCTCCCATGTAATTATATTATTACCTATTTTTTAAAAAATATAAAATCATTATTTGAATATTTAAATCATTAAAAAAAACCAGTATCGTTGTTTTTATAAATCAAAATTTGATAAATAAAATATCTAGAGATTTAGAAAAATTCAAATAACAATTTTAAAAATCATATATTATTAAAATAGACAAAATTAAATACTTTGATGAGAAAATGATCCAGATGGTCTTGGAATAAATATCTACTGGGGCACTCCAATGTCCAACTGCAAACTACAAACCACATATGCTTTATCAAACCGACCCAACGTTGTACATGACCCATAGTCCATGCAAGGGATTATTAGTGGGTCACCAAAGTTTAGCTAATAGGCAAAGGGTCAAAGTTCCAGTTTATGGATTTCAGGTTCCCTACTGGAGATGAAACCTAGGTCATCATGACCTAATGCAATCCATTGCTCGATGATGTATATGAGGTATCTCTCGCACAAGCACGCACTTCACCGTGAAAGGTGGTTCGCTTTCCAAAAAACAGCTATGAATGTGCATATCATGTAATGGTAGTAATGATGAGGCTTTGACCCTATCTCTGAAAGCCTCCATCACAAGCAAGAGTCACATAGTCCATCGACTCACTCTTCTAGGCATACTCTGACATCAAGGGATGACTCATCTAATCCTTATTGGTTTGTATATCTATGCCCAGGAAATATGAGTTTTTCTCAACCAGACTGACCTAGCACCTTAAACACAACTCAGTATCAGCAAATATCATTTGCTTAGTATGGTCCAAACGGGACCACACTCCCACTGAGCTCATGTTATACTATATACTTATTTTACAAGCACTCGAAGGCCTTTAATGATCACACACACCCAACATATTACTCTTAATGGCTTCGACTCTGGAATTATGACCATCCATTTTTTAGAGATTTTGGGTAGAGGTTGTCTTGCTAATCTTCTTTTGAGGCTTATCAGTTTGAAAATAAGGATTTTGTTCATTAAAATCAATATTTCGGGAAACATCCATTCTCCTGATTTTTTAGTTATAGCATTTGTAACCCTTTTTGGTAGGTGAATAACCCATGAATATACACTTAATGAATCATTTATCAAGCTTGTCTCTATGATTTTCTGATAGATGCACAAAGTATTCACAACCAAATATCTTTAAATGATAAGCAATAAGATGGTAACCAAGCAACATTTCAAAGGATTTTTTAGATGGATTATCGGACTCCATTTTTAAGGACATGTAATCTCTAACATGGAAATCATGAAAAAGTTTATATAGATGCAAGGCTCTAAACAATCAAATTAGGGCCCACATAAAAAATTCATTAGAAGAGGTTGTTTTAATGTCCAAATATCATCAAATTGATCATCTTAACTTCAAGATGAATGACATGAGAAGAAAATGGATTTTAAGTTTTGTATATAGTGCATCTTGTAATGCATTTTTGGACCATCAGTTTTCAATATTTTCGAGAATTCATAGATCTGCTCGATCCACACTATTTTTGAAGCTTTTATAATTCGATATAAAAATATATTTTAAGGCTATCACAACGATATCCAGTATTGAAACCACATTTCTCAACACTATTTGAAAGTGGGCTTTACTTCGATTGTTTAGAGCCTCGGCTTTATACAAACCGCACCCTTTATCAAATCACATCTAAGAGCTGAATTATTTTAAAACTCCGTTTGTTCTATTGATCTAAATTAAATAGCTCATCATTCTTTTGATCAAATTTAAATGGGAAAGTTTATATAGAGCAGAGGCTCTAAACAATCAAATTAGAGCATACCTTAAAAATTTCACTAGAAGAGATTGTTTTGAGGCTCAAATATCCTTAAATTGATCATCTCGACATCAAGATGCATGGACATGAGAAAAAATTGCATTTCAAGTTTTGGAAATAATGTATTTTGTAATGCATTTTTGGATCGACAATTTTCAAGTTGTCATAGATATGTCGATCTATACTATTTTTTAAGTTTTAAACTTTATAAATAAAAATGGGAATATATTCTAAGGCTATCACAGAGATTTTCATTATTGAAACCATATTTCTCGACACTATTTGAAGGTAGGCTCCACTTTGATTGTTTAGAGCTTAGGCTCTATACAAACCGCACCCATTCTAGTACTAAACGTCTCATTCTGTTTCAAAGGGATTTGATGAGAGTCATTGGTTTGTAGAGAGATCTACTCTCCCTATCCATGAGTCTGATGAATCTTATGGCCATGTTATCATGGCGATCATATGGAGTATCTTTTCTTGCCAAGGGACAATATGCTTATGCAGGAGTGCCACTTTTTTTTAACTAACCAGCATTTTCTCCTCAATTATCCGTGATAATTTGGTCCTCAAATTGGTTTGGGGATTGGCCAATAAAAATCAGTCCAATTAGGTAGGATTTAGGAAAAGAGAAAGAAAAATAGACATAATAATCATAAAATATAAAATATAAAATACATTAAAAATATTTGCCCAACTTCATTTTAGCCGGTCGAACTCTTAAAATTGATTGGAAAAACCGGTCAAATATCGATTTTAACTGATTTTTGATGAAATTTGATTTTTACCGTATATTAGACCGGTCAAGACACTGATCAATTATAACAGGTAGTCTTAATAACTATAATTGCAACTATATCTTCATGATTAAACCATTGTTAGAAAAATCGTGCGATCTAACCGCTAACTGTCTGGTTAGATCGGAACCTGCCAGTTCCGGTTTTGGTGATCGATCGGTATTTAAAAAAAATTTAAAAAGATATATATAAATTCTTAAAAATAAAGAATTTGGTTTGTAATGTATTTTTTAAAATTCTTTACATTATGGTAAAGATTAATTTTTTTTTTTCATTAATACTCACTTTAATTCAAAAATTGGTTCGTTAAAATCTATTTTTGCATTAATTTTTAACTTCATTTAAATGTGTTTGGTTTTAATCATTCTTTATAGGGTGCAGTTGGCATATAGATGCATCCGTACCTGTAGAGGTAAGGTGCATTTTCAAATTTTATCATGGTATATAATTTTGATGTAAAATGTTCTTAGGATTATCTCAAAATCTATTTTTATTTCTAATTACAAAATTTAAAATTTCAAAAATGGTTAAAATGATCTATAAACATATGGAAATCTTGAAAATGGACGGTGTAGATAATATGTTGTAAAATGCACTATTTCTGAAACTTAAAATCTTTTTAGTTTTTATAGTCATACATCTCGATGTCGAGAAAATCAATCAAAGGGTTTTTAAACATTAAAACTACCTTTTTCGATGGATTTTTGAGGTGCACCCGTAATTCTACATTATAAGGTTGCATCTTTATATAAATGTTTTCAATCTTTATATGTTTTTCATATTGGAATAGATTTTTTTCTATATCTTTTGTATTTTTTCAACACTTTTTTGACCATCCAGAATTGTCCGATTAGAACAGTTGAATTGGCCAGATTACCGGTTGGGCCGGTTAAACCGCTTCCGGGGGCAACGTCCGGTCCAATTTTGCGTACGTTAAAGAAACAAAAGAACAGCATGTCATTTTACAGATTTAAGAACAAGAGTTTGAGGGGCATTTCCGTTATTTTTGATGAAAGATTTCCCTCGCTGCAACAGATAAAGGGGGAGTGATGGCCACCGTCTTTCTCTCTCCTCAACTTTCTCTCTCTACCGCTAGAGCTCATTCTGATTGCCACAGGTAGCTGTTTTTCTCACTCTTCCATACTAGGTAGCTTTCAGTTTCTCGCTGTCTCTCTCTCCTCTTTTTTTTTGCATATAAAAGGGAAGGAGTGATGGCTTCTTCTTTTCTCTCTCCTTATCTTTATCTCTCTAGCTCCGGAACTCACCTCCATCACCGAAGGTAGCCTTTTTTCTCACCCTTTTATATTGTTAAGGATATTTCTCTCTCTAAGTTCTTGCTGCAAATTTTTTTTTTCGCATTAATTCGTTTTAGTGTTCAATTTATCTCTGTAATGCGTATTCAAAATAGTAGGCTATTGCCCTCTTTACTCAGAGTCTGTGTTCTTATTTTGACGATGATTAAATTGGATAGTAAGTTTTTAGGAAATTTGATAAAGGTTTTGTGGATAGTTTTCGAACTGAAATTGATGGTGGAATTGTTTTGAACATTGTAATCGATGTTGAGATTGTTGCTTGATTGTAACTAAATCGACGATTTTAAGTTTTTTAACTGCTATCAGAGAGATAATTGGCCTTACGGAGACTATATTTTCATTTGCTTAACCATATAATTTGATATTGTCACAGTCCATAGCAGTCTTTTATCAAAAAGAAGAGGTAGAAGCCGTAAATCACGATTCATTCGTTATCACATCACAATCGATTCTATAATAATGAATGAAATAAAAATTGAATAGAACCCATACAAAATGATAATTAAAATTTAATGTTCACAGAATGCTTGTGGTTCGAAATTCATTGGTTCCATGGCATATTGTGCAATAGCTAACCAAAGGAATGATTTCAAAATCTGAGGAATTGGTGGATTTTTAGATTACTTTCACCCACTGTCTGCCACAAGGAATAAAAAACACGGCCGTGTCCACTCAGATTCGGCTCATTGCCAAGCCAAGTACTCAGGTCCAAGTCGGGCCACCTTAAAAAAACTAAAAATAATCGTAAAAAATATATAAAAATTGGAACCAATGTATAAAAATTATGTGAGTAATGTGGAGTTTTATTTTTTTACAATGATCTGTGAGTTTTATATTTTCCTCACTATAGATCAATTTTTTCTAAATCCATTTTTTTAGCTTTTTTGGACTTTTTATGTTCCCTTCAATTTCGTTTCATTTTTACAATTGTTATTTTATTTTTGCACAATTTTTTTGAAATTTTTTATTTTTTAGGGCCTTTTGGCCTAGTACACTACTTGGCCCAGGTACGTGCCTTGGGCCAGGCTGAGTCTGTGGCCCCGAAGCGAGATAAAAAAGATTGGCCTCCGATAAAACTCATGCTACTTGGGATTTAGATAAGTGCTTTTACATAGAGTTTGTGGCACTTTTGTTTTTTCAAATTTTAATGCTAAGTTTAAAACAAACCAAAAAAGAAAAAGAAATAGGAAAAGATATAAAATTGGTGCTCTGTTGAATAAAGCAAGTTTTTCAAGATACCAGCTGGACCAAAGTATGGAAGAATAATCCGTATGTTGATTGGTGAGGGTAACATGGAAAAGACGGATTGGCACTCATATCTTCATGAAATTTTAGTTTTACAGTATTTTCCTTTGTTCTAATCTTTATTAAAGGAAAAAAAAATGTTCTGCTTGCTGAAGTATGTTTTTTATTGTTACTGTGGACCTACATCATTCAATGCCATGTCAAATGTGTGCACAACACAAATTAATATTCATAGAAGTATTTATCGGACAGGAAATGCTTGTTCTTAAATAAGTAAGAGAGACGTATACAAAATGTTTCTAATGAAATGGCTTTCAACTGCATATTCCCGAAATATGCTTTACGATCAGAACATGATCTAAAATGATTTTTGAGCTCTGCATCCTCATCCCTGAACCCAATCTTCGTAGATAAAAAAAATGAAAATATGGTTCAAGAAATATCATCAGTATTTAATCAGCAATGATCAAGTGATGGTCAAAGATTACTTCTTGTACTAGCTACTTATATAATATGTATAAACAAAACTATCATGTCTCTTTAGGTAGCTAGCTGCATCTCAAGTTTAGGAGTTCCATTTATGTGTTTTCTCTCATCCATCTGCAATTCATTATTGTTTTAGTGGAAATGGACTTTGAACAACTATTCAGGTGTGTACGAGGAAAGTGGGGTTGTTTGTCCCAAATTCTTAAGTTATTAGAGTTGATACCCTCAACCCTCTAGGCTTCTTCTACAAAATCCTTTTTAGATTAGATGGTTTCACACCATATCTCAAGTATATTGACCATGCCAAATCCTTGTCTGTTAAAATTGTTATAGTGTATTTTCTAGAAATTATATTAGCTTTTATTTTATTTTATTCGGAGTGATGTAGAGAGTGTTATTTGTAACTTGTGTTTTGGGAAGTTGTATAACTAATAGGTGGTTGGTAGTTTTTTTTTAAAAATAGGTAGTTATTGCTGTAAAAAAGTAGTTGTTGTAAATGGGTAGTTTGATTTTAGTGGTAGGAACCTCTATTTCGAAAAGAGGTGTGTGGTGGGAAATGTGGTTGTCTTGTGTGTCAAGTGTAAAAGCTTGTCTGTTTTTTTTTTAATGCAAGTCTTTCCTTCACCTCATGTTGGTTCTTCTTTTTCTTTTTATTTGCTTGTGAGTCTTGGGCTAGTGTGATATTGTCACACTAATTGAGAAGCGGATTGTTCCAGTGTTGTGGCAACCGTCTTTCTCTACATGGTATCAGAGCCACAAGGGTGGTGGTGATGTTGTCTTGACTCCCTTGGTGAAGAAGATTGATTTTTTCTTAAGATGAATTCGGGTGGAAGGATGAATGGTTTTAGCATTGAGTTGCTCAACCAATCCAACTACAAGATATGGAGTCTTACCTTGTTGGTGAAGACTTATGGGAAGTTGTCGGTGGAAATGATAAGGACGCTCCCACACCAAAAAATACTGATGCATTCAAAAAATGGAGGGTAACATGGCAGAGTCCATTTTGAAGAGATCTATTTCTCATAATCTATTTGATCATATTGTAAATGGCAAATCGGCTTGCGATATTTGGACTACTCTTGATGGATTATTCAATAAGAAAGATGTGGCTCTATTGCAATTGTTGGAGAATGAGTTGACTAATTCAACTCAAGGTGATCTTTCTATTTCCCAATTCTTCTTGAAGATCAAGAATCTTTGTTCGGAGATTTCTCTTCTTAATCTGGAAGATCCCATTTCGGAGGCACGACTGAAGCGGCGCATCATTTGTGGTCTAAAGAGGGAGTATACTCCCTATGTTACTTCTACTCAAGGGTGGGTTGAGCAGCCATTCTTAGTAGAGTTTGAGAACATTCTTACTTCACAAGAATCTTTGGCCCGTCAAATAGCTAGATTTTCGATTTCGGAAAGTGATAGAGATGCTTTATTTACTAGCAACAATAAATATTCTCACAAGGAGAAAGATAAAAGTAAAGGTTCCAATGATCATGATGATGAAAAATCATCCGGTAAAGGTGATGGAAACCGAAAATATGTCAAGTGTTATCGGTGTGGTAAACTTCGACACATAAAAAGAACTGGCGTGTTAAATTGAAAGGTGGAAATGTAGCCGAGAACAAAAGTGGGCCAAATTGTGATGAGGAATGTGGATGCATTAGCCTCTATTAATTTTGAGGATGATTGGATCATAGATTCCGGTTGTGGGCATCATCTCACTGGCGATGATTCTAAGTTCTCAAGTTTTTATAATTACAATGGCAATGATGCTATCATTAATGCTGATAATTCCATTCATCTTGTGAAAAAAGAAAGAGTCGTCACTATTAATGGGGATAGAGATAATTGCATCACACTTAAGAGCGTGTTCCAAGTACCAGGTATGAAGAAGAACCTTTTCTCTGTTGCCAATGCTGTGGATTCAGGCCAATATGTTCTATTCGGGACTAAAGACGTGAAGTTCCTAAGGAACATTACAAGTTTGAAGGCAGATGTTGTTCATACCAGTAAAAGAGTTAAAGATTTGTTTGTTTTATCATCTACCATGTCATATGTTGATAAAATGAGTACAAATGATGTGGCTTCAATTTGTCATCCTAGATTGGGGCATCTTAACATGGACAAATTGAAAGTTATGGTGCTGAAAAATTTGGTAAATGGATTGCCTAAACTCAGTACATTTGGTAAAGGTGAAGTATGTGAAGGGTGTCAATATGGTAAGGCACATAGTGATTTGATGGGACCTTGTGTTACATCTTCATATTTGGGTTTTTGCCACATGTTATTGTTTGTTGATGACTGTACAAAATACACATGGGTTTATTTGTAAAAGAGAAATCAGATGTGTTTTCAAAATTCAAGGAGTTTAAGATGACCGTTAAAGGCGTTCTAAACATGAAGATTAAGAGGTTGAGGATTGATAACGGGGGGGGGGTTTAACTCTAATGACTTCTCTTCATTTTGCCGTATACATGGCCTTAAAAGGGAGCTTTCTTGTGCCTACACACCACGGCAAAATGGTATGGCTGAATGAAAGATTAAGCACATTATAGAAACATGCAAAAGTTGGCTTCATGCAAAGAATTTACCCAAAGCCTTATGGGCAGAGGGTATGGCATGTGCAACATATGTGATTAACCGGGTGCCTCTTAGTGCATGGATCCAAAAACTGATAATTTTACAGTTTCTAGGGATGTAGTATTTGATGAGGCATCTGCATATTATAAAATGAATGGTACTTCCATGGGGAGTGTTTGTGATAGAACTCATGTTTGTGATGAGAAGCAAAAGGAAGTTAGTTTACCTACAACTCCAAATGCTCCAATGTTGACTGTTGGTTCTTCTTCTTCATCTATGGGGGAGCAATGTGATAGGGGGAGTAGAGTTGATTGTCATAAAATGCATGAGAAGCAATCTGGTCATAATATTGCCGAAGATGTGGAAAGTGCATTACCTCTTAGGAGGTCTAAGAGGCAGATTGTTTTGCCTGCTCGTTTCAAGAATGAAATTTTGTTAAGTGTGCACCCATGTTTTGATGCTAACCCTATTGATAGTGAGCCTTCTTGTTTCTATGAAGCAAGAGCCATCAAAGAATGGGATTGTGCCATGGATGAGGAGATGCATGCTCTCATAAAAAATCAAACTTGGGATCTTGTGCCTAAACCCAAGGATGTGAAGCCTATAACATGTAAGTGGGTTTACAAAATTAAGCGTAACGCAGATGGAGGTGTGGATAGATTTAAGGCAAGGCTTGTTGCTGGAGGTTTCTCTCAAAAGTATGGGGAGGATTATGAGGAGACCTTCAGTCCTGTTGCAAAAATGACTTCTGTGCAGTTAGTCATTTCCTTGGCAGCTTGCTATGGATGGAAGTTATGGCAGCTTGATGTTCAAAACGCCTTTTTAGATGGTGAGATTGATAAAGATATCTACATGGAGCAACCACTTGGTTATGTATCTCATAGTCATCCAGGGTATGTTTGTAAACTTAAGAAGGCTCTTTATGGGTTAAAGCAAGCCCCTAGAGCGTGGTATGGTAAGATTGCCGAATATTTACAATTTTGCAATTGTTTTGCTTCTAACTCGGATTGTAGCATGTTTGTTAAGAAGTAGGGAGGATTGCATGTGATTGTTCCTTTGTATCTAGATGACATGATAATTACTGGCAATGATGATGGAGAAGTTGCAAGGCTTCGGGCTGAACTTCTATGCGGATTCAAATGAAAGATTTGGGCGAGCTTAGTCATTTCCTTGGCATGGAAGTGGAAAACTTGAAAGATGGAACATTTTTTTCTCAAAGGGGCGATGCTGAAAAAGTTAGTTTCCAAGTTTGGTTTGAACCAAAGCAAGAGGTGTGCCACCCCTCTTGATGTTAACATAAAGTTAAGTCGTGAAGAAGGCAAGCTTCTTCCAGATCCTCGACCTTATCGTGCTCTTATTGGTAGTCTCATATACTTGAGTATTACAAGACCTGATATTGCATTTTCTGTTGGGGACTGGTTAGTCGTTATATGCAAGCCCCATGTAAACCGCACTTGGAGGTAGAAAAGCGTATTTTGAAATATGTACCCTTTACTCTTGATATGCGCCTTATGTTCAAGAAGGAAGTTAGATTTGAATTGAATGGATTTTCTGATGCTGATTTTGATGGTGATTTAGATGACGACATAGTCTACATCGGGTTATGTTTTCTCATGTCGCTCAACATGTGTTTCATGGTATAGCAAAAAGCAAGATTCAATGTCTCTCTCTACAATGGAGACAGAATCTAAGGCTGCTTCTCTTGCTGCACAAGAATGTGTGTGGCTACGGCGGTTGATTGATGATGTTTATTCACCAATTAAAAAACCAACTATCATTCATTGTGACAACCAAAGTGCTCTCAAGATTGCAACAAATCCAGTTTGTCACGCATTGACCAAGCATATTGAAATTGAGCATCATTTCGTTCGTGAGAAAGTGCTAAATGGAACAATTGAAGTTTTGGAGGTGCGAAGCAATCACAATATTGTGGACATTTTCACCAAGTCACTATCCAAAGGCCCATTTGAATTTATTAGAGCTAAGCTTGGTCTCATTTCTAGAAAATCACTTTAAGGGGGAGTGCTAAACTTGTTAAAGTGTATTTTTTAGCAATTATATTAGCTTTTATTTTATTTTATTTTATTTGGAGTGATGTAGTGAGTGTTATTTGTAATCTTGTATAATGGGAAGTTGTATAACTAATAGGTGGTTGGTAGTTTTTTTTTATTTTAAAATAGGTAGTTATTGTTGTAAAAATGTAGTTGTCGTAAATGGATAGTTTAATTTTAGTTGTGGGAGTCTCTATTTCAAAAAGAGGTGTGTGGTGGGAAACGTGGTTATCTTGTGTGTCAAGTGTAAAACCTTGATGTCCTTTAGTTTCAGTTTTTTTTTTTATTGCAAGTCTTTCCTTCACCTCATCCTGGTTCTTCTTCTTCTTTTTATTTGCTTGTGAGTCATGGGCTAGTGTGACATTGTTACACTAATTGAAAAGCCGATTGTTCCGGTGTTGTGGCAACTGTCTTTCTCTACATTGTTGACATAGTCTGCTTCCTAGTTGAAAGATCCCTATCCTTTCTCTTACTTTGTGGGGAAGGAGTCAAAGGGAACAGTTAAAAGCTTGTAAAAAGCAGAAATAACCCACTGGTGTAGGCTCTCTATGAACAACCGAGTTTGCAGGTTCGATTCCCATGACTTACCTCCGAATTTTTTTTATTTTATTCCATGCTTACCAATCAAAAGAAAAATGTATGGAAGTAATCTTAGGAGCAACAGATGTGATTTAAAGCTCTAACTGTATATAAGTATTTTAGTTGATGGGTTAGAACTTATTCAATTGTGAGATGGTATTATGGAATTTGGTTTTGGAAAATTATTTCTTCTCTAGCTTATTAAGGTTTGCATCTTTTTGGAATATTGCATATTCCAGTCTAGTTGTTAGGACTTGCTCAATATGTCATATAGCTTCTGGATTACTAGTCTCTGAAAGGTTATTATTATGTTCCCATGTTAGTTCTACATAATGTAATAATGATATTTAGAACCAAAATGCCTCTATACAAAAGTAATTTACTTGTAAAACAAAACTTCACAGAGAGCTGGTTATTCTGTATTTATTTATAATGGTGTTTCGGATTATCTGATATCTTTTGTATGTTTATGCCAGTTGGAAATTCGGAAGTGGGCAAGCTGTTCATATGGTTTTTTATGGATCAAATACTCGGGCATTTCGTGTTTTGACTACTGCAAATGTATGAAAAGAATTATTGTCAAACTCCAGGGCATTGTGAATCATTTGACTTTCTTTTAAATGCTTTGTTTTGAGCAAGATGAATGGTCGTGAGGGATATTTCTTCAATGAGTTATCAAGTCTTGCCAAGGTTTCTGTAGTTTGCCCATGGATTTGACAGTATAATCAAGCTTGGCAAGCAAAGGAAGCTAGTTTTCCAACTTGCATTGTTTATTGGTGTTTTTTTCTTTTTTTCCCCTTTTGGGTTGATATGTAACGAATCAGTATCACATTGGAACACTAAAGCTATATCAGTTGCTTCCATTCTGCATTTAGGTCAAAATTCCATGACTAGTTGTGGCTAATGGGCTTGATTTAGAGTATATGATATCGACCTTGATGTGACTTCATGAATGTCTGTTTCAAAGTACGAGAGTTAGATGCACAACCTTTTGAATCTTATCTGGCTATTTTTCTTTGTTTATTCCTTTCCCTGAAGACCAGATGTAGTATTTGGCCTAGGGACTTGAAGCCTTACCTACATATGGTGGATTGTTTGGATGCTTAATTCTTATTGCTGCTTTTGTATATGTGTATAAGCAAGTGCATGCATGCTCAAAGGGAGATCTACATTTATTGTCATTTGTGAAGGGTGGAGGACAATGACAATACGTGATCAACAATCAACCGTTGATCTTCCTTTCATTTGGGAATCACTTAGGGTTTATTATTGAGAATCATGTTTGTTGTTCTTTTGAGTGATACTGTTTGATGCTCTTGAATCACATGCTTCCAGATGTCTTCAAGGCAATTCAAAGAAACACCTGATGATATCATGGTTGACCCTTTGGAGGCCAAACGTCTGGCTGCAAAGCAATTGCGAGAAATTCAGGCAAAGCAGGAGCTTAAAGTGAGTGAGAACAACTTCATGTGTACCAAGCAAATTAACAGATACAAAACAAACCGTGATTTCTCACAATATGATTCAGACTGTTTTGTTGCAAGGAGATATCATTCTGTGAGAACATTTTTTGCTTATAGTAATCAGTTGCAAACAGGGTTTTTGCTCATGAACCTGGCATGCTTGACATGCAATTGAGTTTCATATCATCATGAATTTAGAGTCTATAAGTTGGGAAAATAACAAAATTCGTGCACATTTCAATATTTTAATCACTTATGAACTGGCATTATCTCTCATTTCATGCTCATTATTTTTGCGGCTGGAAAAACATGAATGCAGAGGCAACGCCAAATTGAAGCAATCAATGGCACATGGGCTTTGATTGGTCTAGCCACAGGCTTGGTAATCGAAGTTCAAACTGGAAAGAGCATTCCATCTCAGGCAAGTTTTGCATGCTTAGCATCACAAGAAGACTTTGTTTTGTTGTCAACACTTAATGAAATCTCTCTCTCTCTCTCTCTCTCTCTCTCTTTCGCACACACATTTTGGTGGGTCAATGGTTAATGAAAGTTGCTCATTTTCCTTCTCTCTTTCTCTCATGTTTTTATATTCTAACAGTTAGCAGGATACTGGGATGCTGTTGTTGGTTTTCTAAGTCGTTTCATCCCACATGGATAAAGATGATCGGGCCATATGAACTTCTGACACATATGACTGCAAGAAGTTACATTCTTTCCAGGATGCTTATAAGATTCGCCCTTTGTTTTTCTTGGTCATATGGGTTACTTACCTTCACAGAATCAGATTGTACTCCTTGTTTATTTCCTTCATATTGTAACAAGTGTATTTAAGGTCTTTAGCCGTGCTTTTTGTAAATGAATGTAAAAGTTAAAGCCTTGACTTGCTGAAAATTTTGTATTTGAGGAACTAGAGACATGTTTCTGCAATGAGGTAGAGCGGTTATGCACGCCTAACATCACAGGGCCTTTGTTATTGCTGCCAATGGTACATTCTCTCTTTGATGCTTGTAATTTTTGTCCCTTCGCTTCTCTTGCTCATATGGTTCTTTCCTTTACAGATCCAGATTGTTTTCTTGTTTTTTCCCTTCATATGGTAAGGTCTTTAACGATGCTTTTGTGAATGATTGTGAGGATTAAATCCTCGACTTGCTGAGAATTATGGATTTCAGAAACCAAAAAAGTGCTTTGATATGTATAGATCTTCATATACCTGAAATTATGTCCTTTTGATGGTCCAATACATGAACCAGCAACTAGGGAAAGCGAAAGAGAGCAGACGAAGACAAACAGAGAGCAGACGAAGACAAACATGCTTGGGGATCTTACAAATCTGAGCTCACTTCAAGAGAGTAAAAAATGATCGAGTACTCGGCATTGTTTCATGTCCAATTTGAAGTACCGGAAAGAGGCAATTATAAGGACCTGTTGTTTGGAGAAAATTTGAGAAAAAGAGGTTCTCTAGAAGCTATGTTTAATTTGGAGAAAATAAAAAGGAGTTTCTCTAGAAGCCATGTCCTATTTGGAGAAAATTTGTGAAAAAGAGTTTGTCTAGAAGCTATATTTGGCACAAATTTGGTTTCATTAGAAGATGCCTAGTGTACTGGGGATTGACTGTCATTCTTGTGGAAAACTAGAAACTTCTTATTAGTCATATGCTTGAACAATATAGCTGTAGAAGAATTTTGTGTATAATAGAAGTCTCTCTATCTCTCATCACTTGCTGGTAAAGCCAAGTAGCTGCTGAGCATTGTGGAAGCAATGTTCAATTGTTCATGTTGTTCCTAGAAAGGGCTTGTGCTTCATTCTACAGTACCTTGCCAACATCTTCCGACAAAGGGCTATGTAGTGCTTGTATATGTAACCTTCCCGCATGTAAACTTTTAAAAACATCAATAATGAAAGGAAAAGGAAAAAAAAAAAAAGGGAGGCGGGGGGGGGGGGGGGGGTAAGGGAAGGGGAAATGGGGCTCGTCATCCTTACTGATTTACCCAAAAAAAAATAAATTAAAATCTTCATGTTGAATCCCAAATCTTTACAGCCTTAAAAGGGGCTCGTCATCCTTACTGATTTACCCAAAAAAAAATAAATTAAAATCTTCATGTTGAATCCCAAATCTTTACAGCCTTAAAAGTTGAATCCCAAATAAAAATATAAATTATTCTCAGGTTATTTGCAGCCTGGAAAACTGGATCTTGTGACTTATAATTGCGGGGCAACAGCCTTAAAAATTGAATCCCAAATAAAAATATAAATTATTTTCAGGTTATTTGCAGCCTGGAAAACTGGATCTTGTGACTTATGATTTGTGCGGCAACAGTTGAATGCAGCATGACAGAAGAAAATCCTACTGAAAGAAAAGCCCTTCCATGAAGGATTTCCAAACAACCATGACAGAAAAGGTCCCACCTGGAAAAATTAAAACATGTCCAATAGAGAGAGAGAGAGAGGGGCCGGGAGGGTGGAGTCTCATGCGAACTAGAACTAAGAGGACAGCAGCAGGAAGGCTTTGAGTTGCAAATGTCCTCATCCACCATAAAATTTTTAATGCAGTTGTGTATCATCTTACAAAGAAAGCATCTGTGATTCAAGAATTGGTACAAACAAAAAAGCCAGAAGGCTGATAACAGTAAAACACCGATGGATACAGGTTACAAACCCCATTGAATAAAATACACTGATGATCAGAGGCATGGAAAGACAGATTGTGAGAATAATAAAGAAAATGATGATGAAGAATCATTCAAGATCTACAATTCCAAAATTGGAGAGAAGTATTTTCAGTTGGTCCACAAAATCTGAACCGGTTGCATATTCAGTTAGCAGTCCGACTGCGAATCCGAACATTGCCCATCTGCAAAACAACAAACCAAATCCAGTGACCACACTCTTCCCTCCAAATTTAGAAAAACAACAGCCCTTGGTTCTTTGATTCTTCTATAATGAAGCATAATGACCTTCTAATAAAAGGCTTAATGACTAATGTCCTGAGTTTGACATAGGAAGACAAGTTGGCCAGTGCCATCTCCCCTAAATTCCAAACCGCATCTCACAAATCATGCCAAAAGGGACAATAATTCACCCAAATATTTATTTAATAAAATATAAATATATAATATATAACATAATATAATATAATATATAATATAATTAACATGCAAGTTAGTCATGAATAATAGAGGAACCCAAAAATTTGTCATAAAAAAGAATTTGCTCTAGGGATCCCAAAAATTTGTCATAACAAATCTCTCTCTCTCTCTCTCTCTCTCTCTCTCTCTCTATTTGGCATCCCCCAACACAAACCATCCACCATGATCACAAGCTCCAAGTTTTAACACAATAAGAAAACCATACGAACCCTAAATTACCCAACTATGTATAGAACTGATCATGAACAAGAGTTATAAACCAAGTATTGGCAGTTTGGCACAATCAAACCAATTCTCAAACCCTATAATCAACAACAAAAATGATGGGTCCCTAGAACCAGTCAATTTGCACAATTTTCAATAGAAAAGGGAACCCAATAAAGAGAGATCTTTGGACACATACCTTCCATTTGCAATCTCATTCTTTCCAATGAATCCAAAGAAGGGGCCTTCATTGGCCTCCTCAATCTTCTTCTCCCTAAAGTAGTCCTGTAGCTCCTTTGCCTTCTTTCTCTGATACTCCAAAGTGATAACAGATGGCTTAATTTCAGGGCCAATATCCAAAGAAGCTGGCTTAGAAGGAAAAGAAGGAGAAGAGGGAACAGTGGTTGGTGGAACTGGTTTTAGAGGTGGGTTTGGTTCTCTTAGAGGAGCAACTGGTCTTCTCAATGGCCCCTCTGCATTAGAGGCTGTAATGGAGGGCCTCAGAGAAACATTTCTTGATGAATTGAGAGGTTTCGTTGTTGTTGCAGAGGAAGAGGAAGATGAGGTAGAGAGCTTGAGAGATGATGGGATTGTAGAAGCAATTGACATCTTCTTATTCTTCTCTCTCTATTATCTTCTCTTCCTCCTGTCCTTGGATATGGTGATGAATTGTGTAGAGAGAGAAAGAAAGGAGAAGAGAGAAAGAGGACGGTGTGCAATTTTTTTAGTGGGTCGTGAGATGTGTCGTAAAGGAAATCCAACACAAAATCCAGAACCAGTGGATGAGATTGTTACAAGTTTTGGGACTCATGCCAATAGGCAGGACTCGGTTTAGAGACTCCTATTAGTCCTGGGAATTGTATACAATGAGACAAACAAGGTAGTCACAATTCCTTACTGCACGGAAAATTTGATAGCTTGGATGTGTAAAGTTTGAAATTTTTTTTTTTTTAAAGTTTGTGTTTGCTCAATTTCATATCCAATGGTACGTATCATTTTGACCGCCTTGTATCAAAGGTAAACATAGTTTTATTTTATAATTTTTTTTAGTCCTGCCTTTTTTTGCTTTTTTCTTGGCTTGTATTGTATCCGAATATTTATTTTTGTCACAAAGAAATTACAATTGCCACAATCCATTAGATGTCAAATTGGATGGCTTGGAATGTGTCATAAAATTCGAGAATTTTTTTTTTTGAAGTTTGAGTCTAGTCCAGTGTTCGTAAAATCGAATTGGATTGATTAACCGGATATGGGATTAGAAGCGGTTTAACCAATCTAACCGATTCAACCGTTCTAACCAAGCAAGTCCCGAGCGGTCACAAAAGTATCGAAAAAAAAAAAAAAAAAGAATTCAAAAAATAAAATATAAAAATACATAAAGAATGCTTAAAACAAAACACATTCAAATGAAGTTGAAAATTAATAATAATAATAATAAAAAAAGGATTTTAACGAATCAATTTATACTTTGGGGTATTTTTAAAATTTTACGAAAAAGATGGGAAAATATAAAAGTGAGTATCAAAGACCAAAACAATTTTTAATCTTTACCATAATGTAAAGTATATAAAAAAATGCATTACAAACCGAATTCCTTATTTTTGAGAATTTATATACTTTTTTTAAAAATTTTATTTTTTTAAACACTCGATCACCAAAACCCCCCAAAAGAGGAACTGGCCAATGGCCGGTTTCGATCTAACCGGGCGGTTAGTGGTTAGATCGTCTGGTTTCTCCAACAATAGTCTAGTCAATAGCATATTTACAACTAGATGGTAGTGATTATGACCTTCTTGTATTAGAAGTAAATGGTCTATTTATATACACTTTTTTTTTATAAAGAGAAGGAACAATATGGTCCGGCGCAAGCATAGACTCCTTTCACCGGCAAACTTTACGTAAGCCCTAGATAGCCCTGTTGTTGGGACTGAAGTGGTGCTCGAAGGACTTGGTCTTATCGAATCTATTATCATTAGTGTATTGATGCTTAAATTGTAGGAAGACTTTGCTGAGTCAAAACTAATCTATAGACTATTTTTTGAAATCTAAAAAATTTAAAAATTGATTGAAAATATTTTTTTTTTTTAAATATTGTTATTACGATTATGGTGCCAAAATTTATCAAACCTATACATCACCATTCATCCATTAATATTATCCATGTTTTATAATGATGAACTAAAAGATATTGGAAAAAGATTATATACAGTTGGGGCTCCAAATAATTATATAGAGCTGGGGCTCTAAAATTTCATTAGAAGAGGTTGTTTTGATACCCAAATACATGATCATCTTGTTATCAAGATGCATAGACGTGAGTAAAAAATGGATTTCAAGTTTTGGAAATAGTGCATCTTAGAATGCATTTTTGGATAGTCAATTTCAAGATTTTCAAGTTTTTATAAATCTGCTCAACACTATTTTTTAAGATTGAAATATTATAATTAGAGATGAAAATATATTTTAAAGCTATCACAAAGATTTCTAGTATTGAAACCACATTTCTCGACACTAATTGAAGGTGAGTTTTACTTTGATTATTTAGAGCCTCGGCTTTACATGGAGTGAGAGGAGAGCGTATGTGTTTCATTTGGGGTAATATAGAGGATAACCATATAAAGTTTCATTTAGTGATCTAGGACTAGGTTTGAATGCTGTCAAAGTTAGGGGGTTGGGGTATCAGAAAGCTTAAATTTGTGAATTAGGCGCTTCTATCCAAATGGTGGTGGATAATCTTTCATGACTCTTCTCATCTCTGGAAAGATGTGCTAATTGCTAAATGTGGTTTCGATCATCTCACCCACTCAATTAAAAAAGGTAGACGAGGCAAATTCGTCTCACATATTTGGAAGGATATTTATAGCTGTAGAAATATTGTTTTCAGCAACATCAGATGGCTTATTGATAATGGAGAAAACACTTTTTTTTGGTTCAACAAATAGCTAGGTGATGCACATCTCTCTTCTACTTATCCTGGTCTCTTTACCAGAGTTGCTCAACCTGATGCAAAACTTTCAGAGCTGATTTCTCTTTCCCCCTCTAATTGTATGGTATGAAACATTAGATGCCGTTGCAATAGGCTATCAGACATGATTATTTCACAGTTTCATAATCTCCTCAAACAACTTGAACACGTTTACATTTCTTCTAATGCCGAAGACTTGGTTATATGAGAATCAGAAACTAACAAAATTTTTTTCTGTCAAATCAGTGTATAAGCTCTTTTTTATGGATCGGGTCTGTAATGTTGATACCTCTTTGGGTTCTATCTGGAAATGACCAGTTCCAATTAAAATCCAAGCCTTCCTATGAATGTTTAACAGTAGACAATCTATCGCATGTCAAAGGAAATATTTAACAGTAGACAATTTATGAAAGAGAGGTAAAATTATTCCAAACATTGCTTGATGTGCAAAAACGATGAAGAAACTTGTTATCATATTTTCCTTTGCTGTCTTTTTGCTTCTACCTTATGGCTCTAGGCTTTTTGTGTTCGATTTATATGGCTTTTAAAGGCCTTATGAGTGCTTGTAAAATGAAATGATATAGTGGAACATGAACTCAGTGGGAGTGTGGTCCCTCGTGGACCATACTAAGCAAACGATGGTTTGCTGATACCGATCTGTGCTTAACGATCTAGGCCAGTCGGTTGGGAAAAACCCATATTACCTGGGCATAAAGAACAAACCGAGAAGGGTTCTAATGGGTTAACCCTTGATAAGGTCGGAGAATATGCCCAGATGAGTGAGCCGATGGACTGTGTGACCCTTGTATGTGATGGTGGCCTACTGAGATAGGAGCCAAAACCTCATCCATGTTCCATCACACGACATGTATATTGATAGATCGTTCGGGAAAGCCAGATATCCACCTTTGGGTGAAGCGTATTCGTGTCCAAGAGATACCACTATACGCCATAGAGCTGTGGCCGCATCAGGTCGTGGTGATCTTGACTCGTCTCTAGGGGAGGACCTGAAATCCACAAACTGCGATTGCGATTCCTTGGCTCATCGGCCGGACTTTGGTGATCCGCTAATGAGCCCCTACTTGGACTGTGGGTCATGAAAAACACTAGGTCGGTCTGATAAATTAAGTGTGGTCTGTAGTCCACAGTTGAAGGTGGAGTGCCCCATAATTGTTGATTCTTAAACCATATGGATCATTTTCCCATCAAATTAATTTAAGTGTGTTTGTTTTATGATAGAAATTATTTTAAGATTATTATTTGAATTTTTATGAACCCCTGGATATTTATTTATAATTTTTTGATTTATAAAATTAAAGATATTGATTTTACAATTGTTTAAATATTCAAATAATATTCTAAAATCTTTTTATTAATTTTAAATATATATAAATTCCATGAGGGGCTATAGTGCACATGGGCCCACCATGTGGCATGTGGGTGGGGGCCTACATGTGCCACAAAAGGGTGGCACGCCCCATCCTCTTTGTATTCTCTTGTTTGTTTTTAAGATAATGTTAGTTTGATTTGTCGCATGTGGTCAAATCTTGGAAGGGATATATTGACCATGGCTTTATCTATTTTGTAGCAAGTTTGTTTTAAAGAGATATCGTCAATTTGAATTGATATGGATCTTATCTTATTTATATTTGGTAGTATTTATCTACTTGATATTATTTGACATATCCTTATAGAACATGGATCATGCAATTTTATAGAATGCATGATAATTATTTTATTTAAATATATTGATGGAAAATTAGTTTAGGAAAGGGGGATAATGGTTCATGTACCTTCCATTATTGATCGCCCATCTATGGAATAGATGACTCAGATCTCTCACTCCACAAGTCATCAATCTCACAAGAAGAGGCAAGCTAAGGAAACCCTAATATTATTCAAAGCCTATAAAAATGGATTGTCTCTACCAAAAAATCTCAACACCTTATCTTTTGTACCTAATTCCTATCTTTCTCTCTCATATCCCAAAAAGGGGACACACACCACTCTCTCATGTTTGATCTCTCTCTCCCATTGTGAAAGAACCTAAGGGTTTAGGTTATGAAGTTCTTCTCTCCTATCTCTCAAATATCGATTCACGGTTAAGGGTTTTAGGGTTTAGCCAAAAGAGAATCCATCTCTCTCAAACTAGGTTGCTAAGAGAATTCACTTAGGGTTTGAATTTGTGATCAAAGGAGTTCATGTTCCATTAGTGTGGCGTGGCCGAAATTTGCTCTCTTGGTTCGAGATTAAAGCTAGACCGTTGATCCCGCGCCATCGGATGGTGGTTACTCAGCGTGGGGTATAATAAGCCCGATTGAGGTAATCTCCAGCACTATTCATTTTTGTTTCTTGTAATCTTATCTTTTATTCTCAAGCATAGTGCATAGTTATTTCAATGACATCAAGTTGTTAAGATCTTGGTTTTATTGTTATGTTGATTTTATTTTGAAATTTATCTTATTATAATAAAGATCACATGTAAGTGATCTTTTGCCAAAAGAAAGGGGTGAAGAAAACAACAAAGAAAAAAAGAAAAAAAAAAAAGTATTCCCAAGAAAAGATCATATAGGTTCATTCTGTTTATTGGGTTTTTTCTTCATGATTCTTTTGAATCTCATCAGCATTATTAACCATATTTATGTTGTTGGATTACCAAAAAAAAGAATTGTGATCTGAAATTTTTTTTGAAGTGCAATCTTATGACAGATTTAGTTAGAACGTAACAGGAAAACCTTTGATGGGGTGTCTCAGAGTATTTAAAGGGTAAAAGATCTCATTTTACAATCTCTTTGGAATTTGTTCTCTTCTACGCCTAAAGAACGGGGTACACTTCGGATGAATATTTATATCAATTTGAAATTTGTAGCTAATTCCTCTTCTCACTCTAGCCGTCCACTTAGAACTTGGATTGTACCTCTAGAAGCTTACGTCAAACTTAATTTTGATGGCAGCTCATTTGAAAATCTAGGGCGTACAAGTGTTGGTGGGCTTCTTCGCAACAATTTTGGATTAATTTTTTTTTTTTATTCGGCCATTGTGGGTCTACAACTGCCAATCATGCTAAATTGGCTTCTCTCCTTCAAGGCTTTCATATTATTATCGACAGGGGTTTCATTGGTGATATTATAATTGAAGGGGATCATCTGAATGTTATTAAGTGGTGTGAAAGAGAGCAAAAGATTCCCCTGTCCTTATTTACCCTCTGGTTAAAAATTCAAAACATTTTTGCCCTGTCTAATTTGAGGATAAGCTTTGGTCACACCATGCATGAAGCCAATGATGTTGCCAATGGCTTCACTAAACATGTTGTTTCTCTTCCCTTTTGCAAGTTTCTAACTATTTGATCTAATATTTGTAATCTCATGCTCTTGACAAGAGCATCGCTTTAATAGTTCATAACATTTGTCAAAACAAATAGAATAAGAAAAATAAGTGTAATAAAATAAAATAAAAGCACAATAATGACAATAATTTCAACCAATTTGAAATTTATTAGAGAATAGAAAGCAATGTAATTTTCTTTTTAACATTGGCAAAATCGTGAGATTTTTTGGTACAACTTTATGGCAATAAAAAATTTAATAATATAAAACATAAAAAATTGGAAAGAAGGAAACAATTCAGCCAAATATAGCAAGAATACTTGAAATGATTACAACTTGTGAAGAGATTTGGAAAAACCAGCCGAACCTACTGGTTCTTCGGTCAAATGCCAATTCTGACGGGGTTTTTGTCAATTCTGGTTCATTGTCTTCGTAGGACCGGCCAAGGGTCCAATTGCTGGTTTTAACGGTTCGACTGGTCAGGTCCGGTCTGCTCTGATCCTCATAACCATCACTTATGACAGAACCATAAATAAAACCTCCGTCAGGAGCATACAATACCCTCGGTAAAACTCTTTGCCAGAAAACATCTACGTCCCTGATCCGAGCTCAATCTAGAAATCAATCACATAAAAAAGGAGAATGTATAGTATGCTCCCACAGGAGCATGTACAGTTGATCTACTCCCTAGGTTGGAACTCCAGCTTGGGATATTTTTTAAGTCTAAAAATAGAACGACCTAGGGAATCTGGATGATTATTTTCAAAAGCAAAAAATTTGCACTTAAGAATCTAGATGATTATTTTCAAAAGCAAAAAAATTTGCATTTGGAGTTTGTTAGAGCATAGATCTCCTCTAAGAACCGGACGTTCTTTGTTCAATCTTGAGACATTATTTTTTTTAATGTGTTTATTTATGGAAGTTAGTCTATAGGTTTGGGTTTTACCCGAGGGAGTAAAGGCACAATATACTTGCAGGGAGCATGAGATTTTTAGCAAATCGTTAAAGGCCCTTCACATGTGCTGAAAAAGATGGTTGTCTTATAAATGAAATGAGAACATCCAAAAATAGATTTGAATGTTTAGCGATGAAATATATATTTTTATTTTTCAAAACGCTAATTGTGGTTATTATAAAAAGGATCCCAAAATTTCATATAAAAAGAATCTCTTTATTCAAAAGAGTAAGTGCATATTGTGCTCCTTAGGCTACACCCTTGAAACCAGATTCCCCAACATCAAGGCCTCCCCCGAGTATCTCTGTCCCTAAGGCCTAAGTCCAAAAAAAAACTCATGATAGTGCTATTTATATAGGGATTGTATCACAATTGGACTTTAGCCATTGAATGTAAAATTTTATGGATTGAAATGTGCCATAATGTTTGAAAAATTTTATTTTCGACTTTGTGCCCAATCAATGGCACATCTCCAACAACCCGATTTCACATCTAATGATCAGTAATAATTAACCTCCTTGTATCTAAGTAAATCTTGTTGTATACTTTTCTATTTATCATACCTAAAATTTTGCACACATTCTTTCTCTATACAATCAATCTTAGGAAAGAATTAATGATAAATGAAAAAGCGTCACAAAACATAGTAATTTTGATAACTGAAAAAATTTACAAAAATTGGAAATGTTTTGTAGAACATGGTTATTTTGACGCCCTGCAACCAATGGTAAATACATGCCATCTGATTTATAAACTTTTCCCCTACCCGTTGGTGAGATTGGAGTTAAAGATTTCATTATGAGGTGTGGCACTACTATTGCCAAGGCCCCAAGCATTTTTCAAAGGGTAAGTGGGGATGATCCGGATTATATACTTTTAAAACCCAAAAATAATAGTTTTTAATAGTTATTCATGTCATGATTGTGGATATGGCTCTTGATAAAGCAGAATGATGGAACAAGACTCATGTAGCCGACCTCAAGTAGTTTAGGATAAATCTCGCCGGCCTCAAGTAATTTAGGATAAATATCGAAAGATGATGATGAGGATTCTGTGGTTAAATATTTTTTTACAAAAACAAGGACTTAGAAAATATAGTTACATGTTAGCACCTTAACGAATCAAGGCCAAGCCCGAATCCTTAACATCACAACTTTCCCTTGCTTCTCTTATTTTGAAGTGAACTTCACAATTTTGGCATGTGTCATTGTTTACTTGCTTTTTGTAATATATCATGAAAATTATAGAATTTTCTAGTTTCTTTAAGTTCATTTAAATTTTAAAAATATTCTTTCAATAAATTTAATTTTTCATTTTCTTCAAAATTTTCCATTTGTTTTATTAACTTAGTCGGATAAGTAGTTAGAACATTTACACCAGGCATATTACAAGAGCATATATGATTTTGTTCTTCTTCTTCTTCTTCAGATTCAGAAGTTTTGTTTCAGGCCCATCTTCCTCCTAATCAGGTCTTATATTTAATTCATTAAACCAAGCGAGATCAGAGTAGATTTCCAAAAACTTTCTTGATTATATTGGACCAAAAGAGATCGTGGTTGGATTTCAAAACGATTCTGGCATTTACACCCTGCTATACCAGCCAATAAACTAGTAAATATTGGCTAGACCAGAGCTTATAGAATCATAACAAGTTCAAGCTGTTGCCTTTGAAGTATTTTGAAGGAGCTCAACAACACCATAACTGGTTGTTTTTATTAAAAACCTCAATAAAATTAATACAACTCAGCACCACACCTCAAAATTTCTTGCTTCAGCTCTAATCAAGGGGTAATCATCATTGCGCAGATGCACATAAATAGAGAGAGACATTGCGCAGATGCACAGATATATATATATATAGAGAGAGAGAGAGAGAGAGAGAGAGAGAGAGAAAGAGTGTGAGCATTTATTGAACTGTACAGCATGCAACTCAGAAGCCGCAAGGCTTCAATCTCCATAAAACAAAGTTCTCGATACTGAACCAGTTCATCTACTCTTTAGCAGTACAATAGTCGAAAAGAAATAAAACATCCTCAAGGACCAAAACAATGGGTCTCGCAGGCCCCAAGGTCAATAAATTCACAAGACACCACACCTCCAAAAATGTGATGCTTATCAGTGTTATCCAAGTCAATTGTCAAATTTACCTCAACTTCTTGAAGCACTTCACCTTCTCAAATTCAGGGCCACTATAATTTTTCTCCACTTCCCATGCAAGTTGTGACATGCAAGTTAATGAAGATTTAGCACCTTTCTCATCTGTTACCTCTCTAGGGAAAGGTATGCGGACCTCCAATACATCCATTTGAGGAGTTAGAATGCGTACATCAAACCCTAACCGATCAATCCATACCATCCTCGCATTTTTCACCTGTTGAATATAAAAAGCTTAATGGGGTTTCTAGCGCAACAAATAAGATCACTTGTAAAATGCACAAGATGTAAAACATATCTTTACAACAGTCCAGTATGGTTTCTAGTTCTCGAACATTCCTTTAAAGGGGCAGAGTACTTTTAATCTGATGGACTAAGAAAAACCCATAATCCCTAGGGTGAACACTGTCAACCGAATGGTGGATGGAAGGGAAGGAGAGTTGGACAATACTATTCCTACCATGGGTAAGTGACCCCCCTCCCACTGAACTGCCCAAAAAAAAAAAAAAAACAAACAAACAGAGTGGGACCCATTTGAACATGACATGAACCGATAACTATGATCTTCCTGCCATATGTTGGATCATAAAATACTTCCTAACTTTCCGAAATGTCAATTGTGGCCACTAGAAGCCTAATAATAACTCTACAACCATAAGACAGAAATTGAACACAAATCCTGCATTTAGTGGTACTGAAATAATCCAAAAATAAAACAACAAGGGGACCAAGCAGTGAGGATACTCATCATTTGAGAACTTAACATGCTTCCAATAGGATAAGCATGAAAATATTGACAAACTGAAATTGCTATACATAATCAAAGTGCAACTCTAACAAAATTTCAGATAAGAAAACATAGGACTCTGATGTACTCATAATAGATAAGACAATTATAGTACTGGGAATAATAAACTAGAATAAAAGCCTCTAGATGTCAATGTTAGGACGTAGATAAAGTTGCTAAGGAATAAGGATGTCAACAAGCCAACCCAGCTTGGCTCGGCACGTAATGAACCAAGCTTGAGCAATATTTTTTGGCTCGATGAGCTGAGCTAAGCTACGCACATTAGCGGACTCTTTAAGCAACCTATACCAAGTTGAATCAAGCTCAGCTTGAGCTTGTTCAATGCACAATATGATATTATACATTACACCAAATTAATCTCATCCCAAATTTCATCTAAATTGTTTTGCTTACCATGTTTATGGTTTTGTGCTCGGCTGAATTTGCTGATCACCTACTAAGGAAGGCTTCTTTAAAGGGAATTTGAAAACCCTTCAGAATTTATACTTTCAATTAATGGTGTGAAAAGGAAGTCTGCAGTATGTGTGTGTGTGTGTGTGTATGGAGAATACTTGCAAACACATAACCATTTTCCCATACACTTCCCTGAAAAAGACATTCCAAACAGGATTCTTTTTTACCCCAAATTTTGGGTATTCTCCCAAGAAAAAAAAAAACTTGATAAACAACAAAAACAATAATTGATTTTGTGCACATCCAACACTGGATCTAACAATGCACCAGCCTTTGAAAAAAATGGGAACACTAATTGTGCAAAAAACTTCACATTCAACTAACGGGGAGTGCCCTCTCCCTTGAAAATATATTAGATGTACTTGAGCAGGAAGCTCATGGACATATTACTCTATGATAACATATAATTTTATTCGATGTCTTCAAAGAGACAGCTGTATCATAGAATATAGCCATCTTTGGGGGTTCGGAATGAAAAACAATCTGTCTATATAAAGCCATCTTTAGGGGTTCTTTTTCTCAAATTTCTTTTCATGGGCTTGGTCGTTAGATTCAAGAGGATGTGTGTGCAAAAAATGGGGTTAAACAAATACCCACAATTGGTGATGAAACAAATAGCGCCCCCAAATAGTTGGGAAAAGGCACTCTGATGATGGTGATGATGGTGAAACAAATGGCCACAACATCATTATCTTAGGAGGAAGGGGGTGGCATTTTTCTAAAGCATTAGCCCAGTGGTTATTTTAAGCTTTTCCTATATATACATATAAATATACATGTACATACATACATACATAGCAGTACGGTTTATATAAGGGGGCAACCTTGTTCTCATAATCACAGAATGGTATGGTGCTCCAATTTTCCAACTATATGAACCAATGACTATAAAACAAGGTTCGTCATAGGAGTTCATCCTGGCACCACGAGCTAAATAATGTATCTTGAAGTTTTAGATTCAGTTCAGCCCAGTACTTAAAACTTGCTAGACACGGCTGAGTCACTCAAAGCTGACCAGTGAATAGGAACTGGCTGAGCCTTACCAATTCTGAATATTTCTTTATTATTTTCTAATGACTTGGCTGATTCTAACTTGCTGACAGCGACCCGCATCACACCCAATTCCAAGACCGAGTTCAAATTTAACCTTACCATTTCAGCTTAACTACAGCAGAAAGTAGGCATGAATACACACATTACATGCCTATCACATCTCATAACAAACAGGAATTTGAGATAAACCCGATGCACATAGGTAACACACACGCACGCACGGACACACACACAGGTATACCAAATCAAGTGCATTACACCATCATCTTAATTTCTTAGATAATTGGGATTACTCATGACAAGAAAGTTTCAAGAATCAAAGTAAATCTTTTTGTTACTCTTTCCATTTTCCTTTTATACTAGAGCCTAACGTATCATATTTGCTTTTTTCCAATTGTCGAAATAGATATCTAAATATAGTTTTGTCAGAGGATGACTCATAAAAGTCTTTGACTCACAAGAAATACTCAATTAAATTCGAGTTGTGAGATGTTTCAATTTTTATGTGGAGATCACACCTAAAAACATGCATTAGAAGATTCTAGGGTTTCAAGAATTTGTATATTGATAGGGCTTGGAGTTTACGAAGGTAAAATCCTATTACTTGCATAAATTTAAGTACAATAATTATGATACTAATTCTAATTGTGCAACGATTGTTCTCAAAAAACATTCAATGAAACAATATTTTTAGGATAAAATCTAATATGCCCTCCACTATTCATATCTAGCAATAGAGTATATATTTTGCTTGATACGTGTAGTGCTTGGATACGACAACAAAAATTAGAAAAACCGATGTCCAACATGCACGAGCTAATATACTTCATAGTCAACTTCAAATACATGAGAGCCAAGTCAAATTTTAGGGTAAGTCGTGCAAACCTAGTCACTTATCAAGGAGAGAAAAGAAAAAAAAAGAAGCTATGCAAGCCAAGTCAAATTATCAATACTATATTACTAACCTATTTATTTTTTTCCAGATGAAAATTGCATATGCATGACTGAAGTTCGGAAATGTTAACATCTTCCCATACCAACCTGAAAATCCAAATCTACAAAGATGTCACAAAAGCGAAGGACATCCTCCATAAGCTTATCATTCATCTCATTTACAATATTCCCGGCACAGTCACGAAGGGGATCTGGCACTGCATTCCTATAATCTGGCCCTGTCACCCACAAGCAATCCTGGAAAAAGAAAAAAAAAGGATTAGCAGTATCAACAACCAAAAGCTTCATCACAAGCCCCAAGAGAAACTTGGAGGCTCATGATCCAAATTTCCAAAGCAAGAATATGAAAAACTACAACGCGCAATTTCCAAATCTCTCAAAGACCACAATCAATTTCTTTTGACCCCTCAGAACCACTTGTAATGATTTGCTTACCTCTTTGAAATCCTCTAAATGAAGCACCTGATCAACCGAAACTATATGAATAACGCCTTCATCCACCTCTTCCCCAAACTTCTTTTTCCATAATGTTTGAAGTTTCTGGATAAGGAAGAATTATATTAGAAAAGTCATCCAACAAACAAATGCTAACCTTGACACTAGCCTCTAAGCATCATAGACATCAAAAATATTGGCATCATTATTTTGCCCCAGAAAAGAAAAGCGAGCATCTCATTTTAACGCTGCCCTGGTATCATTTTCCGTACCCATGCTGTAAATGGTTGAAAAAATTCCTTCTTTCACCCCTCCATCAAAAGTTCTTTTTTATTTAAATTACTATTTCAAAATATCAATGGTTATAGTGATACTTTAGAATACAATTTCTATCCAAATCATAAAGCCTAAATTTTTTTTCAAAATAACGGCATTTCAAGCACTGTTATTTTACAATACAGCCTATCCAAATGATAAAAATCTATCAAAAAACAAAGATATCTTACAATATAATTTTTGCTTCAATTAGATATTGGTGTTGCAAACACCAATATCTCAAGTAAGTTTTTCACTTAAATAAAAGCAAAATATCAGTGTTTACAATACTGACAGCTTTGTATACAATGATTTTAAAAATTAACAGATTCAACCACTCACTTTTTTATTATGCACATAGTTTTTCGGATTCTACCAAACAAAACACAGGTGGAAATATGGATTAGCAGTTGATTTTTCAACCATGTCAGATGGAAAAATGAGCAGTGACATCTTCCCGTCACAAAAAGCAGAGGTCTTCAGGCAAAGAGGCCAATAGTAAAGTGTCCCTCCCACCAATTTCCATGACTTACATGGGGACAGATTAAACTAAGCTTCTCTTAAGGGATTTTCTTCACATTTCCCCATGGGCCCCTTTACCACACAACACACTTTACTTGGCTGCTTCCTCGTTTGTTTTTTCCTAATGAATTGGTTGGTCCCTCAGAGTTGTTCTTCGAGCTAACAAGTTTCCATCCCAAGACCTCTTTCTTTTCCTTGGATATAATTACTTTAATTCAGACCCCAACCTAGAGCCCGCTCCTTATTCGACTCCCTTCCCTTTATGTTTTCAAGTTGAGATGAAGAAGGCCTTGGTATTATTTAATAGGAAAACTCCAATGAACAAAACAATTCCTCTTTGACAGACTAATGCAAAGAGCTTTAAATACAGATGTTTACTACCCCATAGATTTAGGATGATTTCATCAATTATGAAACATCCCTAATCATAAAATTACTAAGCACATGACTTGAAAATGTGGGATTAAACTTATTTGCTGCTGTCATGGTGTTTGTAGCCAAACCAACAACTTTGCTTGCAGGGGTAATTGCTAAACTAATAATAATAACGATAATTTGGGTTTTAGAAAGTGTTGCTGCAGAGGACGATAGTGTGCTACTACTACCATCCGCTCTATATAATATCCATATTCTTTTCATTCCTACCAAGGGCCTCTCTCATTGCAAGTCTCCAACACATACAAATGCAGTCAATAGCAGTCTTATCACCATCATCCACCATCCTAGGAACATACACTAGAAAATTTCATTTCTCCCCCATACCATATCCAGAACCCTCATAATTGCTTCAACCCCGTTACTCAATGGAGGGCATACAAAAGATCAAGACAGTTGATGCACTTAAACATCCAAGCAAGCCCCTTAGCTGAACCTCCCTCTGCAGTATTAACAATTTTCTGCAAACCCAGTGACAACCAATCTTAGCATATCCCAGTTAGTTGTTTGCTTTACTGATTAAAGAACTCATGCATGTTTTCTGCATGTGTGTATGCATTTTCTTGAGTAAATTTCATAAATTTAAAAGTTTTCTGGGTTAAACTTGTGTACACATGCAAGTCCAGTACTTTCCTCATAGCACTATTTGATTTTTCATCTTCCCAGTTGACTCCAAAACTACAATGCAACAGGTTGCACACAATATCCAAATAAAAAATATTCATTTCCATTTGAGCGACTTTCCTACATTCACCTGATTTTGGATATTCATTAAAAGTAGAAACTTTGAAACTCAAAACTTGTGGAGTTGTGGACCTTGAATTTCAAATGCTTCCCCAGAATATAGTTTTTTTTCATTGAAGGTGCTAACGTTTGTATTGAGTATAGAAAATGTATAAGTAGCAAAAAATAGGCTGCTCACAGGTTGGGAACTCTATACCCAGAATATAGTTTCAAACGCAATTTGAAAAGAATGTTTATACACCAGAAGGCATTCTAGTTTTCATTTTGAAAGGTATGCCTTTACATAAACATGTATTTAATTAAATCGAGCAAGTAAACTGGTAAAGATCCCCTAACTCTTCTAAGATTCCTGTATAACAAAGCTAGCTATGTAGCCAACCAAACAGCCTTTCTTTGATTTGTTCACATGTGCACCCTCATTGTCAAGTTCTTTTGCTGTGCAGCTCATTGGTCTTTGCAAGACATACTCAACTCAGTCACAACTCTCAACAACAGCCTCCTTATGGAGAGAAACAGACCTTTGAAATTAAGATACAAACAACATCCACAATTTTTTTATAAATTTTTTTTAACTGGGAAACCAGAGTCATTATTGAATAATTCTTAAGGATACTTAAGGTGGTCATATCGTCAACAATTCAACAAACGAGGAAATGAAAAAAAAAAAAAAAGGAAGCTTAAGGGGGTCTTATTATAGCATTATCAAATAAATTCCCATGTATTTCACATTTTAGTAGCATGTTTCACATGTATGGAGATTGGAGAGCCATAGCCATTGGAAATTGGAGAGCCATGGCCATTGGAGAGCATATAGTGTAATCTGGCAGGAGGATTGTCTTGATTTACGATTATCAGATCCAATTTAGAGTGTGCATCCAAAAAAAAAAAGAAGGGATTTTGAGTTCCTAAACTCTTAGATCTGACTATCCAAAATTGAATGTTATTTTGTTCAATCCTATGATGTTATTTTCTTCAAGCATATATAGAGTGTGTATCCTTTCTTTTTTCTTTGGCAGGTTCACTGGGTTGAGGAGTTACATCCCCAAAATTTGGGAGCTAAAAGTACACTTAGCTAGGAGTTTACCCAAGCGAATAAATGTACATTATGCTAATATGTTCCCACAGGAGCATATACTTTTGGTATATGCGAGGAACTGTTTTTCATTCATAAGGTTTTAAGCATTGTGGCAAGTCTTCTTGACAAATGGAAAATACAAAAGCCCATGCCCTTGAATTATAGCGGACCACGCTATTTCCACCTACATTCCTATATAGGAGGGGGAGTAATGATCTATCGATACGTCACCCAATACAAAGGGTGGCATCATTAACATTGCGCACGTGAAGCATATGTCTAAAGTAAGAATTTTGGCATACCTACTGGGTAACTCATTTCCCATGTAAAGCTTGTGCTTATTAATAAGGATTAAATTTCCAATCTGACTACTGTTTTCCAAATAATGGCGAGTTTAAACATCAATGACTTAACATTATTTTCTATATAATAAAGTACAAAGTAAAGAGCAGATATGTAGGGTGTACATTGTAGAAGACACTTGAATTGCAATAAACTATTCCCATGAGAGACCATGCTTTGGTAAAGAAAGGAGGTAAGAGGGAAGTCTTCACTGAAACACTGAAAATAAAACCATGTTTGAGTGCGTGAACAGTTCCTGTGGTCACCAATGAAGATTCAAACAAATGATTGAAGAATTTAGACTCAGAATTTGAGAACTAAAGCATATTTCCTGATCTTATAGAAGAATTCCACAAAAAGGATAATAGTAATATGTAAGTCCTGAGGGCCTCACTCTCAAAGAGAAGATTAAATACACATTCATAATCAAGGATTTCAACGAGAATCAAACATGGAATTTAAATATTGAGTTCTAATATGTTCTCTAGACATGTATTCAACACCAATTAACAATGCAATATCAAAATAACAATAAAAACTTGTGAAAAAAAGGATGCTCGTCATATAACATATTATATTTATCTTATTAATCTGCATTGCTAACAGACAATGATTTACCTTAGTATGAAATTCATCTTGTGGTCTAAGAAGCAGACCCTGCAAAGTACATTGTGGTGTCCTTGACCCACTCTGCCCTAACTGATCAAAACCCAATCACAAAATTGAACCAAATTAACAAAGAATAAAAGAGACTGCAATTAACAAAATTGAACCATAAGTAAGACTGAGAGAAATGGAATGGATAAAAAAATACCCAACTAAAATACAAGAGGAATCAAA